AGCCCTTGGTCCATTTATGTGGAACATCATAAGGGGTCTTTGGGCTGCACTTCGTCTGATCCCCCTTTCAGAACTCCTTCGTTGATAGATTTTGCTTGTTGGCTGTTAATGTGTTTCCAAAGTTTTATGAGTACATGTTGCCGCTGTTCTGTAAAATAACGAAAACCAAGAAAAGGACCAGACAGAGGGTGTGTCGCTCATCACTTACATGAGCTGTGGTTTGTTGTTGCTATGTAGATCTACGGTTTTGACAAAGGAATCCGAGATTTACAATCCAACATTCACACAAAGCGTGAAATATAGTCAGTTTCTCTCAGACAAAATTTGAGAGATAAATTTTGATTCTTTTAATGTGCATCATGTTCTTTCTACAGATGTTGAAAAAGCATTACGCGCAGGAAACGTGTCACCCAAAACCCGTCATGAATTACTTCTAGCGATGACGAAATTCTGCGATAACCATGACATCAAACCAAAAGGTACACACACGTTTAATGTTGATTGATGACATCATGTGTTAGAATAACAACCATTTATCGGTGCCCTCACATCACTGCTCCACTGTAAGAAAACAAAGAGCTGCTGCACAGCTGGTGGGAATGGGAGTACAGGAGGATCTCTGGTTAAACCAGCTCTGCTCATTGGTTGGGACTCAGGAGGCCTCTGATTTAAGGTGTGAGGATCTACTCCAACACACTGAGTGGAATAGAGACTTAAAACATGAGGGAACATTAGTAAATGACACAAAGCTGATTTCCAGGTAGCAACCTGTTAGTCTGACCATCAGATATGTCTGCCTGTCTGGATGAAGCTATCTGATCAGGAATCAGTCAGATTGGGTCATTCACTGGCTTTTCTTTTTCTGTCCTCCAGATAAAAAAACATTTACTTTCTACAGAGTGTCTAATGGAGCTTCCTTTGGTGTTGATCAGCAGCTGCTGGATCGACTCAATAGATCTCCTTATTTCCACCTAAAAGAAGCAGATCTGAATGACTGTCAAATTATTTTTGTGTTCTGTATCATCAACACTCGCATAGAGTCAGATGTGGAGGCTGCCATTGAAAAAATCCCAGGTAACATGAGGACAAAACTTTATTTAAAGACATATATATCATCAACATGTGATTTAGTTGATTAAAGGATTAAAATCATCAAATCAAACCAAACAGTATAAAATGCTTCACATCCAACAGCTAAACTGGTCTAAATAACTGCTAAATAGCCTTGCAGTGTTTAAAGAATAGAATAAGAACAATGGCTTCTAATCATCCTCCCTGAGCCTTTACAGTTACTCTGAACTTTCTTTTTCTCTGCTTTAATCTCAGAGTCAGCTGGTGATAAACCTGTGATTCTTGTTGTGATGCACCACAACAGAGACATCAACTTTGAAACCACAAAGAAGGAATGGGAGAAAAAATATGAACGAGTTCAGCTTGATGTGGAAGTTCTCTTCCACAGGAGTGAAGGCGGCTTACTCAGATGTGAGAAGAACAACCAAGCTGTTGAAGAAATAAGAAAAAAAGTAGAGGGAAAATGGAGGGAGGAAGGTGAGGGACTGAGGGGGGAATAAAGGAGTAAAGGGGGGACATGAGTCCAGCAGGAAGGAGGACAGAAACAGCACTCTGAGCTCTGTCTGCTGGGACTGAATCCAGCAGCTCTGCAGCAACATTCAGCTGGTGCAGAACTCTGGAGTTCCTCCTCAGAAGCAGCTCGTTGGGAGCAGCTGCTCCT